TCTAAAACTGTTCGAAGTATTTATCAGTAACTGTTAGATGTTAAAATAATGAATTATTATTCTAAATATCAACTCAACAAAAAATTTTGTTTATTAGCTAGGAAATACAAAGTCTAGTGGTGAAAAATCGATATTTGAATAAACATGATTGATCTGTATAACAGAAGTTTTCACTAGGACGCTCGACATTATTTAAAATAAAAAGTATCCAGTAAATGGCAGTATTCAGTATGAAATAAATCAGAGAACCAGTGACACAAGGAAATATAGCAAAAGAAAAGGAACAGCAAATTCTTCTATCAAACCTCGTCTTGTTAATTAATGCCAGAATTTTCCATCACAGAATAAATTTATTTGATCGTCACACAAAGAGAAAGTTTTATTCACTGATAACGTTTTTAGCATAATTTACTGCTCATTATCATATCAAGCCATTCAAAGAACCTTCAAACTTCAATTGCGTAATTTCCATGTCCCACACCCCTTGATGTTATTGGTAGTAATAATTTCCATATTTCTGATGTTGCCATTTTGTCATTCATATTGCACGCGTTAGGTAGAGATTCGTTGAAGAAAGATTCATTGATTAACATCTCTCCATATGCTTGTGGTACACTTTAAAACTGTAGCTTTGTTACACACGACTTTATGTTTTATTATTGATGTACATTTTGAGATTACTACATGTTTCTCTAGAGTATTACCCTGCTTCTGCACTTACCTAAAGTCTTATGTCCTGATTATCTGACTATCCTCGGTTTACTGGTCTGAACCCTTTCGTTGTAGATGGAGTTATGCTTTTCCACACTGACCAAGAAATGTTCTTATATCAGTGATACGTGTTCTTTTATCTGCCATATGAAGTCCGTCCGGTCGAATGCTCTTACTGTCAAAATACAAAACACTTGTCTACTTTGATTATTTGGTTACAAATACATTACATTACCTGAAAGGACAGCTAGCACTGATAAGTGGTGTAGACAACGTGTAGGATGTGTTTCGTGCGTGTCATAAGTTCTCATGATGCGAAGTAATTTTCAAGCAATAATCATAATAATTTGATCACTGGTTAAACATTTGCATGTAGAGATGGGCGGCTGGCTTAATAAAACATGTTGAGGCGATGACCATTCACGAAGTTATTGTAATAGCATCAACTGTTTATGAAAAACTTATAAATGAACTATTTAAACTATTTAAAAATACCAACAGAGCACAAAATAACGCAGACACACAAATATTCATGCAGACTGCAAATTATCAACAGTATAATCATTGTTATTATGATCAGTAGCTTGTGTTTCAAAAATTACATGAGCTCTTAGCTGAACAGCTCTAATTCTCTTGGTTGTGCGCCATCGATTTTAGCTAGGTCCCATGACTGCTAACATGCTTCTGGTTTCCCTCACTATGGCATGCCAATATTGGATGCACAAGTCGTAGCTTCAGATTCTTGTCCCATCTTATGACCTGGCGTGTGACGTCGACCAAGCATATACTCAAAATATTCACGTTCTAACACCATTTACTTATGCATATTTCTTCAGCGATAATTCATTACCTGTTTTGCTGGCTAGTCTTTTGTTCTTATTCTTTTCAAGTCACCTGATCTTAAGTATTGAGTGAAAGACGTCTCTCGGCGAACGTCTGCAGGTTGTTGTAGATTTCTTTGGTGGAGTTTCTAAACTGTCAGGCACACAAAAATAATGAACTAAAATAAGTGTTTGAATTTTGCATTTCCATTGTTGAGCCAAGTACTGCGGACCTTCAAAAATACAATACAGTAATAATTACCTGTATGGTTGTCGAAATTCTGACTGACTGTTTTCCACATGCGTGCCACCATTGGTGGAAATGTCGCTGCCCAGATAAGTAAACATTTTATTTCTTTCAGAATTCGACGGTTGATAGTAATTTGTGTTTTTTGTCATTTGAGTATCTTATTCATGTCCGGTCTCTCTTTTATCTTTTGAATTGTCACATTCGCTGCCTTTTATGCCGACTTGTCATTTTTCGCTTTTTATTCGTTCGGTTTGCAAGGCATGTGATACCGATCATTCAGAGAATACAGATCTCGTTGTCATTTGAAATGCTTTCGTGGAGAATTGTTTGATATCTGGCATCACCATATAGATCTAATTTGAGATTCATATAGTATAACAACTCTGTAATACTTCATGTCGCACACATCTTATGTGTTGAGGGGAGTGTGAAGCAGAAAGGTACTATATTATCGCGGAACGCCACGGAGACGGTCTTTTTAATTCTTTACTTAATTGTACCAGTGTTGCTGACATTCAATTTTAATTTTCTATTCATTTTCCTCTGTAACAGTATTATCAGTGTAAATGCCCTGTTCATTTCATGTAGTAGTATGTAGTGTGTAATGGGAAAATTAGATGCAATATTCTTTACATACTGAAAATGCCACACTTGTACCAAAATGCTGTACGGAGTAAAACAGGTAATGTTATTATAGTCGTATGAAGAGACAATGAGAGAGGGACGACGCATGTAGTACTCACAAATATTCCTATGCAGAGTTTTCAAATTCCCTTTCTCACTGTCCGATTTTGCAGCTCACTAATTGAAACCTAGTGCTTCAAGCTGTTTAATAAGCTTTCCGTAGTGTTGTTGTTTCCACAGGTTGGGCCAAATTGTTTGAAAAATCCCTGCTAGACGATCAAATTATAATATTCATCCTTGTTAAGACGTTTCAACTAACTTTGAAATTAGTATACGCTTTTCCACTAGACTTTGTATCAGTAATTTCACATCAGGACATCACATGTTAAATTCTGTTTCTTAATATTTGCATTTTTTCAAACTTTAGTAACGACAGAAGGCAAGAGTCAGGCAACAGATCGTTTATTGAGAAAATCAAGAGATATTCATAGATTTTTATGTACATTACTATACGTTATTATTAGCAGAGAAGCAACGTCTTCTGGTTGGTTGTTTTCTCGCTGAAGGTTATACTGTCATCTCTATGTTGCCGTTTCTTAGACGGTCCTGTCTGCAAATCGTATCCACTAACGAGAATTCTGCTGTCATTGTCTGTTGCTGCTTACAGTTTTGACTTGTAGAAAGCTCCAACAAAAGTCATGCTTCTTCGTGGTTCTTTGTACAATGACAACGATTTGTTTAACAGCATGAGCTAGTTTGAGGTAGAACAGGTCATTCTGACCCGGAACTGTATTCAGGAAACCCTAAATTGCTGATTTTGTGGACTGAGCATTTATTTCCACAGCACTTTTAATATTCTCTCGGATGCGACGTTACCTCTGACAGTTGAACGTTTGTGAATTTATTTTCTTAACAGTACATGTTGTGTATTTAGAAGCATGAATTGCCTGTATAGCTGTCTCACAGCACAGTTGAGGTAAATTTAAGTTTGATGTTATTGTTGTTTAATAGAACCACTAAAATATTTGCGAATAATCGTCTTTTTATCTTTAATTTGAAAAGCGTTGTGGTGCCACGTGTCTCAAAGAATTTTCGCCAACTGTAAAGTAAAACTTAGAGTTCAATTTCTTGCGTTCCAAACATAATTGTATAAATGAATTCGCTGAATAAACATTTATTTGTAAATTTTTAAGAGTATGCAAATCGTTACAATGAATATTTGACTATGTACTCTATAAAATAGTTCATGAGATGAATACATCTCAGAGTGTTTTAAAAATATTAGGATTGGTATGGTGGAGATATGTGGATGACACTTTCACAGTGTTAAAAACAGAACATATCACTAGCTTCTTGACACACATAAACTCACTAGTGGAGGGAATAAAATTCACATTTGAAGCCGAAAATGAGCAAGGAGAATTAACTATCTTATATTGTAAATAAAACGAATAGAAGCAGGCAAACTACACACTAGTTTTTATAGAAAACCAACGCATTCTAATAGATATTTAGACTTTAATTCATCTCATCCTTTAACCGTTAGGGCAGGCTTACTTAAGTGTTCAACAAACCGAGCAATAACACTAAGTAGCACAAAAAACACCTAAATGATGAGATAAAACAGATAGAAGAGGCGTTGGTGTTAAATAACTATCCTTTAAAATTCATTAGGGAGACTGAAAAAGGCCAAAAAAAAAAGAAAAAGAATTCTGAAACTAGTAATAATAACATAAATAAGAGAGAATATAAGTCATCTACAGTTATACCATATAAAGAGGGGACATCTGAGACCGTACGTAGGATTCTAAATAAAGCAGGAATTAGGGTGGCATTGAAACCTAAAAACTCACTCAGGGACAAGCTCTGTAGTTCAAAGGACTCAGTTGACCCAATTAGAAAATAATATAATTTACGAAATACCCTGTAATGACTGTGAAGTCAACTACATAGGTCAAACTAGTAGGTCAGGGGTATTCAGATTGTCAGAACATACGAATTTAGCTAAGGTAAGAATGGTTGACCCAGAGAAGATAAGTAAATTAGAAAAAAGCTCGGCAATCGCAATGCATGCATTAGCACACAACCACACAATAGGGTGGGAGAGGGTAAAAATTCTAAAAAGTAATCTAGGTAGGTGGAGAGAGAGGTTGATTACTGAATACTTGTTCATCGAATCTACACCCAACATATGCACTAGGAATGAATCATCACTCATACCTGAAATATGGAAAATATTACTACCAATCAAATCAAGTGAAAATCAAGTGAAAAACAATGGAACTATATAAATGAATTTAGGAAGTCGTGTGATTACCTTGATATGATTATGAGCAATAAATTGTGCTCGAAACGTAATCAGTAAACATTACTGTATAACACTGTGAGACTTTATCAAAACAAAATTTACCCATAATGAAATTACACTCCACCACAGTGCACAAGTTTTATTCTTATATCAATAAGCATAAACAAAACACTTCATCATGATTGCAAAACAAATATGAATCAAAGTTTAATGGATGATATGGATATATTTACACATGAGTAGAGCATTTCTGTAAGTGAATACTGTAACGTCAATAGTTAGATAGATGGTTATTTATACTCAGGTGAGCAGTTCGAATTTTTATCATTTGTCGTGGCTATTATTTACTTTTCATCATTCATTCAAAAACTTCTTTTTCGTGTAATATTATGGCTTCGAATCTCATGACTCCATGGTTTATGAGATTTAGAACTTGATATCAACATGACTAGTCACTGCAATTTCATCAAATTGTTACTGCAAATGAGAATATGTTTCTTCACGGATTTTCAATTTCCGTCTATTTTGTTGTCTTATTTTGTATCACATTATTACACATCCTGCAACACGACTTGTATTGTCCACAAAAGAAGAGATCACGCATCCTGCGATGCTACCTAGGATTCTGCTTGTGCGACAAACATGAGCTGTGTGAAACAGAAGCCCATATTTTGTGAATTGGAATGTTTAGTTGAAACACTAATGGATGAAATTCTCATACAATCGTCACATTATTCGATGACATCGCTTATATTTCTAAACAATCTCTATGCATCAAATATTAATGCTGACAGGTTAAATATGACGAGTCGTTGATTGATCGCAGTTCAACGTGCATCAGATTTTTCACCACCTAGAATAATATTGCATAACAGCTTTCTCAATTTTGTTTACAATCGATTATATGTCAGTGGTGTCGGAGTTTCAAATAAAAGATTTTTATGATTCTTTTACTCTTTAGGTGGAGAAAACATTTTCTATCGGATGGCAGGGATATGTAGTGATCGCTGGAGTGTAAGTGTCGCTTTCCGCAACTTATGAGATAAACAATAGTAATGGTATCTGAGTGTAAATAAGCTTATATCAACTCATGATTATAATCTGAAGAATCACACCGTTAAATGTTTAGAAACTTATGGCCTTGGACTCAAGCTTCCTTTGTTGATGGAGGACACTTGAAGTATCTTAGTAGTTAATTATACGTGATTCTAGTGTAATATTAAACGTCTTCAAGTTTCATAAACTATGACATCTCATTAAGCCCGTCTTAATGCTACCACTGGGTTGACAATAATAAAGTAAAAAATTAGGGCTCATACTGATGGAGTTTACGCTTTATTATCTTATTGGGAATGCTTCCGATCTCTTCTTTAAAATGTCTTCAGCTTCAAATTAATAGTAAAGTATGAATTACGCATCAGTGATTTATGCCCCTTATGATAGCTTTCATAGCGTTCGCTTACTTCGAGAATGCTCTCATCATTTAACACGTACACATTTCCTCGGTCTCTTGATGAGTTTTAGCAGACACAATAAACGACTCAAACTAGAATTGATTTATCCGACCACTGACTTAAAGATACTCAGCACAGTGTAATAAAGCAGGCATTCTTGGGAAGAAAGTGTAGATTATTCCGACAGTATCTGTTAATCGAGTTCATCTCAACCTCAACAACTCATCAGACCAATAATCTGAAAGGTATTACACCATTGATGAAATCTAACCAATGAGAGTGTGCCAGGAATGGTTTCACAACCTTTTAGGATATATGAAAGCTTCTGCCTCCTATATAATAAACAAATCCAATGAATGAGATTTTTAGCTAATTAGGATTGATGACCATTTAGCTGAGACAGAATGAGTAATCATTTCCATTTTAAACTGCATCCAGTTAGTAACGCTTTTCTCCGTGTGATAAAATGTGATATACAACTAAATAACATCACAGTATCGAATGATTATACATGGAACTTGTTAAGTCTTTTTACCGTCGAACAGTTCTTGCTTCTCTTCAAATCACGGAATATACACATTGGATCAAAAAAATTATTGAAAAGACGGTTGCAGCGAAGAAAATTTTCTTTTCGACGAAGTCATCAACTAGGCTGTACATTCGTATATTTATATTACATGTGTGAGAACGTTCCAGAATTATTTCCGGTCAGACGTCAGATTATTAAAATTACTAAGTGTAATAAACAGAAGATAAGTAGTGGTATTATTCTAGAGATATTTCAGACCAAAGGTCAAATTAAAAATTACAATGTGTAATAATCAGGAAGATCGTGTAGAAAAATCAAAATAGTATTATAATTACTATAAAACTAGTCAGTTTATATAACTACGGGTTAGGGATGTAGTACTAACGAAATGGTTATGAGGTTAAGACATATAAAAATAAAAACAATAACCAGATCTAACAATGCAGATAGGGATTTAAAATGTTAATATAACAAATAAACGGGAAGGTTGGACGAGGAAGTTAATGGGATAATCATTATTGCTGAGACTGACTTTTCATGATAGCCACGATTATACACGAATAACTGTTTCGGATTTCGGAATTCATTAAAGCTTTTTTTCTATTTGTATTTTAGTGTGCTGATTGTGGTCCTCTGTATATTACTATTCTTCAAAATCAAGTATAAAGTGATAATCGGGTTGATCATGACAGGAATAATAGTAAGTTTATTAGAGTATCACGTTCATCAATTGATTTCTTTTACACAAGATAATTTCGTGTTTGTTGTGCAATTCAGTTGGAAACAGATAAAAGTAAGACGAGCAACAAACGATAATAAAATAAGGTTTACTGAATTCATAAAATTTCGGTAGAATTACAAACTCAATAATATTGACAGTATTAATAATGGTAACAATACGAATATTGAAACGAGTTAACTTACTGACAGTGATTAAGGATAGTTCTAAAGGAATCAATCATATTAATAATCAGTTAGAATAAAATATCAGAATTAATAACCGTCAATAAGTAAGACATTTTTCCATGGTACATTCATATTGATCACCATTTCCTTCTACCATGGGAGCTTGGGTCTATAAACTCCAAGTGCACAGCCTCACTTCTGTTGCAAGCCTCTACCTACTTGTTTGTCTGCTGAAAACGGTGAATGACTTGACAGCATCAATTCATATCACTTGCCTACATGATGCTTTGTTGCTGACACTTTTGATACTCTGAATTCAACTGCTTCAAATCAATATTTCAAATGATCCATTACTCCACTCGGAAATCACCTTTTCGTACGACATGTGTAATTGATCCCGCAAATACACTCCAAACTGATAGACGCATTTTGAATTGTCCAGGATTGGCGGATGGCCTATCCTAGATTCTTGAACATCCTCTAGTTAATGTAAGGGAACACATGTTCCGCAGTATAATAAGTACTCCTAATAGCTTTATCATGTCTTTTTTTGACTACGTATTGAAAGTCGTCTCGTTTAGATGGTAGACTAATAAATACAGCATTCTTCAAAACTGTTTGGATAGTATTATTGGAGCAGATTTCTTTGGAATATTTATTGTTAAGCCATTCTGGATATCCATTTATAAATAAAACCTACTTAAGGGTCTTTATTTCATATTCATTTGTACTACCATAACAAATCTGGATTTCTCTATTGAACATTATTCCGATCGCGTTCTTCTTTTACTGGATTACCGATGTTTACCTCTCATATTGTTGGGAAGTTCGGATTCTTAAGGTGTTCATCGAATTCCGCCAATAAATTTCACTTTTTCAGTTTATCTCAACAAATAAGTAAAACTCATTCATCCGTCTTCGTTATAATTCAGTTGATTACCAAAAATTCCGCAATTTAGAAACCAAATGATCTAATGAAATTGAGGTGTAGAATCGCTGAACACTTTACTTGGAAAGATGTTTAGAATTTACTTAGTTTAACTTCATTTATATCGTCGAACATTTTATAAAGCTCTGCGTAGAGGCCATTTTGACCATAACAGGAATGAATTTAATCAAATGCCCAAAGCTGTCTAATGGGTGAGTTATAAAGCATTATTGAAAACAATTTAATGACTTGTCTCTGAGATGTGCTAAGGGGTAGATGATTTAAGGCACATACTTACTAGATGTACTGCATAAGTTGAATGTATCTGTAGTTTCAGAAATTAGGGCGTCTCTTCTCTAGGTCTGATCTTCACAGACTGATGGTTTTCGCCCTTATGCACGTGTGCTTACAAAGGCATGTCAGCTGATAAACACAGTGAGATTCAACACCATATTTCTGATGCCACTGAGGTTGACAGGACAACACATATATCGTTTTCTCACTTGTAACATGAGGAAGAATCAAAATCAGACATATCGCACAACTTTCCTGCGGGCAAGTACGTGAGTTCTACGATGCATTGGTCCTTTTACTATTGCAGTTTTCAATGCTAGTCAGAGCCAATACGTGCGAAATCTAGATCCAGGTTTCCTTGCGGATTGACAACATGAACACATGTAACAAGTAGCATATGAGAACCAAGCTTTGGTGTTATTTCACAGAAAATTTGATGTAGGCACACATTTTATGAAATACACTAATACGTAGATATTCACTTTTTTTCAAATTTTCACTTTATTTTGCCAACAGATTGTAATGTGGTCTGCGATTAATTATTCTCTGTGTCGCAGAATGTCATTTTCAGGCTGTTATCTTTTGTTAAGCTTCATTATTCTGGAAGACTTGCTAACAATCATCCTCTGCGTAATGACTAGAAGGTTCAAACGATTAGTGTTCATAGTTATGTTGTCTTTGTCAGCGGCTTTTGTGATAATTGGAGGGATTTTGTTTTATGTCGGGATGGGTAATGTAAGTGAAATGAAATGTCAAATCTAGCTTTATGTTTTAATACAAATTACTGAAATTATTAGAAGTATTTTAATTTGACTACTACTTATATTCGACTAATTCTTACTAACTCAATCTATATAATTCACCTAGTTCCTATATTAGATCATTCTTGTATTACCTCAATAATTACATAAAATTGACAGACCGCATGTTCACACACACAAAAATAATTGTATATAAATGCAACTGCACAGCTATGTGAATGAATTCGCCGAAAAGAGTCTCTACGCTGAAGCACTTCTTTTTTCATACTCATATTTAATTTCAGTCATTTACTTGCCTCTTTATTTATGAGATCAAACATGCATGCACTAACGCACGAGGCGTTTGGAAGTAAGAGTACTTTTCCACCAGTCCGTTAGTACACTCAGAAGTACACTCATCCATCTGCGAAACAACATCTCACGCAAATATTAAGTATTGTGAAAACATTCTATTAAATTGGAATTCTTATGAACAGAAGCATTTCAGTACTCCCTACTTCATCTCAGTGTCTCGTTGAAGTCGTTTGAAAACTCATTTCTTGTACATGCACCCTTCATAGTTGCCTTCCATTTGACAGAATTTGATTGTATTACTCAATTACTGAGATTTAAATTATCCATTTTGTGATCAACATTGTGAATGTAATTTTCCCCATCGTATTTCAGGAAATTTTGATTTCATTGGCCGGTGGATTTTTGAACACGGCTTTAGATGTGGTAAGTACACACCTTTGATTTGAAGTTTTTTGATATGGAGTTCTGAGTGCGATTTAATTTCTTATTTGAGATGCGAATCTATTTCAAAATATGAAGTACGTAGAAGTAGTAAGTATTTGTTGAAATGCCTTCATAATTTCGACGAAATTTTCACAAATTCTGAAGCCATATTTCATGTTTATTTCACTGCTGACTTCATTCACAGATGTGAATCACAAATATTTTTCCACTCAGCGAATTAACAACCTTACATAAATGTTACCTTTTATCTAAACATTTATGATGACGTATTTTTTATTTTGTTTTTTGCAGGCAGCATTGTGTTTTGTCAGTTCTCTGAAATATATTTCCTATTAGTTGGCTCCTCTGTATTGTGTCGAGCAATTTCCACTGTAATTCGTGTTTTATACAAACAAGCACTTTCTACTTTGACAGAACGACTGACAGTTCATATTTTCAGTTTTTGAAATAAATTATTTTTCGTGTACTAGAACTTTCACTTTCACTTGTGTACAACAATTTCTTCAGAAAGTAAAGATTAGTGTTATGCAACGTTGCATTGACTTTATCTTTGAGAAGATTATATACCTTGTTGATGTTTCTCATTATTATACGCCAATGTGTCCTGATGGTTTACCCATCACAAGAATATGTAATGAAGTCTGAAAAGAAATGATGTCGAATTCAGGTAGCTATTTTATAAGGTAATTCAACATCTGTAAAATTATATTTGTAAAATCTCAGCGAAATTCAAATGATTAATTCCAACGTTTCGTTCATTTCAATTTCGCTGAGATTTTACAAATATAATTTTACATCATTGAGGAGTTCAGGAACAAAGTCTATACACTTGAAAATACCAGATAACAATAATTGGATCCTCTTAAAAGCCAATGAAAGAAAGTATTAGTTGATCATTCACTACGGACTATGTCAGGTGATATAGTAGTGTGGTGTTGATTAGGCGTCACCACTTCATGTTGCATACTATTTCGTGGAAAGTGCCGTTGTCTGTGTTTCATCCATCATATCTGCCACCTTCCTTTCTCTTACTTCCTTCTTCCCGATAATGAACTATTTTCGATAATATTCGTGAAATTATTGACTTTAGCTCCGTCGTAATAAGTGATCGTTTTCAAGCTGTTATCCCAACCACACACAAATAAAGGCGATATGTGACGACTGCCAACTATTTGTATATGACGTTTAACGCAGAAGAAATTCTACTACTACAATCATCTTCTTAGCTTCGTTTATTCAGACTGCTACATTCTCAGCGTTCTTCACGGAATATTCTTCTTTCAACTTTTTCTATGAAAGCGTAACAGCAAGTAGGAAATCAAAAACTGATGTGGGTGCGTATTGGTTACTACCTAAGGAATTAACTGAATTACGATTAAAACACAGTGAAAGTGGGTGAATTTCAAGTACTTTCCTCAATACAAAGGAGGTAGCTCAGTGGTATAACGAGGTCACTCAGAAGTAGACTCATGACAGATTTGGTTTTCCACGCGCCAATTACTGTGTAAATAGATAAATAATTTTTCTCCGTTACGAAACTGATAAAGTAAGTCAAGGCAAATGGTGACAACAATTAATATTATGGAAATATTTGTTCTTTTTCAAATCGTGGAGAAATAGGTATCGCGATCATTGTGTGATATAGTTTTTCAGCAAAAATGCGTGTGGAATGGATAGGCATATACACCAAATAAAAAATGATGCTTATAAAGGACGATGAAAAGTGGGAGGGCGTGAGGAAACAATTACAAAATGGTAGGCATCTAGTCATTTTTGACTCCTCAGTTTTCACTTAATCTCGTTTTTTTTCATTCCCTTCAATTTTTTAATCTTCAACTGCAACAGCTGTTATTTCTGTTATCATGAATTTATTTGTGTGCTCATTATGTTCACACCTGTATTCATGTAACTGTCTTCCCAACCATTTACTGATCGTATGTGAATTTGTTTCCATGCCTCCTGTTGTCTATATTCAACCCTTTACGCTTCCATATCAAGTTAAAAAAATTATCCAATTTAATCTCCTTTGTTACGATGTTTTATTAAATAGTAATTGCAACTATGTGAACTAAAGAATATGAGTACGATTGCTCAACTGCTGAGAATGAAATCGCTGCGAGCTACTCGAATCCCCATCTCCAAAATGCCTTGTGACGAGAGGAAATCTCTCCATTAATATGCAATGAGGAATTTCAACATGGTATCAGGTCAATAAGAACGTGTAGTTTGCACAGACCATGAGAAAATGAGAGGTGTTGAATAATCTTTTTCTGTATACAAAAGTCAAACTGATGGTTCAGTGAATCTGATTTTCAGTGACTGAGAGATTACTCTTCTAAGGATCTCGGCAGTAAAGTCACAATTCACATTTCCAATAGAAATCAAACCTTGTTCATTTTACAGATTGTCGATATATTCGTGGAAATAACACTCTTCACTGCTTAATTTCAATTCATTTAAACTCACCAAAATTAGGATATATTCACTTTGAATTAAGTACGTGACTCCATATTGATGCACTGACATCGATGCAATTAAAATCAACACATTTGTGTCTTTCATTAGTGATCAACAAAATGTGAATTCGTTGCATGATATGATTATCCATGCACTTTGAACATCTGCTGATATTAAATACCTTATTGATTTTCGTGAATGTTCTGTGCTCCTGTGTGATTGGTGGACCAGAATTTATAGTTGCCGTGTTTTTATCTAACTTCTTAATTCAGGTGCTTTTGTGTTTTTCATCCGTGCTTACGGTGCTCAAATCCACTTTAATGTCTTGTTGCATATAGGTGAACTAAGGCAGATGCTTTCTTTTAGAAAAGGAGTCTTGAATTTTTTTTAAAGTATTGGTAATATTGACTTTATCAAGAGATATCATTGTAACAGATGCATTGTAGGAAACTAAAGATATGACGGATGATCACGTATATATGCAATTAAAGATTGAATCTGATGTTCAGTTTTTCAGAAGTGAAATGAAGTATTAAATACTTGTAAACATCTGTTGAAATTCTCTAATATATTGCATTCATGATAAATTTTAAAACGTAGTTGAGATATGCAGTTTTTCTGGTTGACAAAATTATCCAAACTGAAAAAAGGCTGCAAACTTATTGAGTCATATGAAAAAGGGAAGACGTTCAGCGAAGAGACTCTTTTCGGCGAATTCATTCACATAGCTGTACAATGGTATTTATATTATTTGTGTGTGTGTACATGGGGTCTGTCAAATTTACATAATTGATCAGGTAATACAAGAATGATCTAATATAGAAACAAGGGTAATCAGACAGCAAGTAAAATAAGATTGAGGAAGTAAGTTAGATAACGTTTTTTAATTGACTAAAATGTTTCAACTGTGGTCAGAGTAGCAACGGAGGTAATTACAGGTAGAGACTAAGTAGAAGTGGAGTAGAGAATAATGCTACTTAAATTAGAACTGAAATTGAGCAAACAAGTTGGATGACGTAACATAAATGACTAGAAATTGAGCGTCGTTCAAACGTATCACCGAACACTTACCAACATGGTTTTACAAAGGAGGAGAACGATGCCCTCGCAGACCCATCTTAGAACATGTGATAGAATCCGGACACCAAGCTAAACCGCAAATTCGTCAACAGAGTGAGAAGTAGTCTTCCTTAAGGTGTATGAATCAGACTTCTTCAAACTACAGAAGCAATGGCGATTCACTTGCTAAGTCCTTAACTCTACATACAGAAGAAGTTCGTTCAATCACTACACTTGCAAAGGACGTAATCTATCTTATTACCCGACAAGTAAATTCTACCTAATCTTTTTTTATGTCTCTTCATTAGTATTATTTTGTCTTCTCAACTGTAATATTTTACATTATCAAATTTCTTGTTCTCTATCCACATTTGATTTAATTTCTACACCTCACTACCTTTGTTACTGACATGAACAACGCTCAATTCCTTGTCATTTATGTCACTTCATCCAACTTATTTGCTCAATTTCAGTTCTAATTTAAATGGCATTTTTCCCTACCTCACTTCTATACTAGTTTAAAATAATTCAATAG